GTATGAGTATGTGTTAAACAAGTCTGTGTTCATTTGCGCAAGGGTTACAAGTTGATTGGAAACGTATCATGGGCGAATGCATGTGACTATGGCTGTGTGCCTGAGTGTGTTTTCGCTATGTTTGCAGAGGATATTGTGTGTGTGTGTGTGTGTGTGTGTGTGTGCGTGCGTGCGTGCGTGCGTGCGTGCGTGCGTGTGTGTGTGTGTGTGTGTGTTTCTAGGCAGTGCTTATTTTCCTTTTCAACATTCAGCTCAGCTGCACTGAAATGTTCTCCACAAACTGCAAGGCTGATCGTGAAAAGGGGAGCGGTTCGGAAGTTCTTTCAGGGAGCGTTTGAGGGATTTGTGAGCACAAGAGCTGAAAGGAAGCGAAGCCTTGAGGTTAAATGAGCAGCAACCAATGGATGCTCATGTTTTCACACCAGCATTCGGATAAAGACAGTAAGAGTGGGAGAAAAATGGATGCAAGCTTTGTTAGACTGCTGTCACGTACAACTGGGTCTGATTATATTATTATTACATTTGAAAAGAAACCCGTATTGTACGATTCACTTTTACAATTTCCCATGGGCATCCATTCAATACTTGTTGAGATATTTCATTCAGAATGCGACGCAACAACCTCTGCAGCTCATCCAGAATGCCGCGGCTCGTCTGGTCTTCAACCTTCCTAAATTCTCCCACACCACGCCGCTCCTCCGCTCCCTTCACTGGCTTCCAGTAACTGCTAGAGTCCACTTCAAGACACTGGTACTTGCGTACCATGCTGCGAATGGATCTGGCCCTTCCTACATCCAGGACATGGTTAAACCGTACACCCCAACGCGTGCACTCCGCTCTGCATCAGCCAAACAGCTCGCTGCACTGCGAGGGGGACCCAAGTTCCCATCAGCAAAAACACGTGGGTTTGCTATCCTGGCTCCAAAATGGTGGAATGAGCTCCCCATTGAAATCAGGACAGCAGAAAGCTTACACATTCTTCCAGCGCAGAACATATTTTGACATTTAATCATTGAAGGACGAGCGTGAAGTTGTTTTGTTTTCTAATATTTACTCGTGTCCAAACCCTTAAAGTCCAAAATTCAGTGAATGGTCTGAGTTTGAAGTATTTTCTGAAGACATGTATATCTTATAAACACAATTGATGTAAAAAAACATACAAAAAAAAAAGATTGTAAAAGGACTGCATTTTTTATTGTGCTTCATCCAGTCTTTAGTCACCATTCACGCATTCACACCTCAGCAATGTGGCTTTTACTAATATTCACACCAAGGCCACGTCATCGAGTGCTTATTGGATCTTGCCCAAGGATACATGTTACTGCAAGGGCTAGGATTGAACCAACAACCTTCAAATGTAAGGAAAATCTCACTACCTTACAGCCGCGATTTCTTGAAAAGAAATGTGGAAACGCCAGAATTATCCTTAAAGATTGGCACTCGACAATTACAATAATATAAACTAGTATTTTCAGTAGAAAGTGCTCCCAATTAAAGGGTTCACAGTGAGAGATAAGGGCTTTACTTAAAAAATGTTCAACATAGTGGGTTCTCTGTGTTTCCAGCACTCCGAGACACGTCTCAAAACCTGAGCAAATGTAATGTAAAAGGAAAGAAAAGATACAACAAGAGGTCATTTAGATACTATAGTCGATTTATAATTGGTCCAAAATGCCTCTTTGGTTCCTCAAGTGCAGAAACACAACCAAAAACACGCATTCACGAAAAAAATCTATTATTTTAGAGGTTTAAATGCTAAATGTAACACTTCAGATATGGCAGGTACAGCCGTTTTTTTTAATCTGTATTTAAGTTTTCTTATAATTTCAAGTTTTTGGATTTGATCCAAATGTGTGTTCCCTGTTTGGCTTAATACTTGTTAACTACACACTCTCTGCTATAATGTGTGATTGTATTCATCAAGGGAGCTCTGTGGTGTCTTTAATGCACCGTGCACAGCTAGCACAGCGCCATTAGCTGCATTTTGGCACATCTGCAAACAGCCAGCCGAGAAATATTAAATACATGTGACCCGGAGAGTATTGCAAAATGGCAGCGACCTCGCCTGAGGGGGAGTGTTGTTTCCGCAGAGAAACGGGACGCTTAGGCTGCATTCATCAAAGTCATTTCTTGTTTTTCCAAAGACCGGGAAATCAGGGGTTAGGTCACACTTTTCATAACAGGAGGAAGAGAGAAAAAAGAAAAGAAAAAAGAACAACAATATTCTAAAATAATTTGCATAATTATTCATCATTAGCTGCACCCCATCGGTCCACGCTCATGTCAGCGTCATGACAACGACCCCCTGGGCCCAAACACCCCCACCTCTCACCTCCCACTGCATCCCAAAAGCCCCTCAAAATATAAATCCAGAGGGACGGCCTCCTCGATAAACATGGCCGCCGGGCTTGATTCGAAAAAACTCACTCCTTCTTCTCCCCTCCTGGCGCAGAAACACTCCGAAATATGCTCCCTATACGCTCTGAATAAAACCTGACAAGTCCTAATGGAATGGAATTGATCTAATTTCAGAACAATATCTGTTATTTTAGTTCATTGTTGAAGGGAAGCACTAATCTGAAGAACACAGTCTGTATGTAGAGGTTCTGAGATGTTTCCGAAAAAGAAAACCATTTGAGTAGAAGTCATAACACCTGGGAAAGAGTCTGCATTTTAAGTCAATGGTTTTTTGAATGTGTTTTGTTAGCTTGAAATAAGGTCTGTGGTTACGACAAGCTGAAGAGATTTTAAAGTTCTGTTCTACGACATGAAATACATCAATAAATACACCACTGGTGAATTTAGAAAAGAGCGATTGCTAACAAGTGTCTAAAGGAGACGACTAAACATCATCACGCCCAACATTAGCCGCCTTTAGCTTAGCGGTGCTGACGTGAAGTCATGTGACCGTGCTGTAGTTCCTTTATAGCCCAACATTAGCCACCTTTAGCTTAGCGGTGGTGACGTGAAGTCATGTGACCGTGCTGTAGTTCCTTTATAGCCCAACATTAAGCGCCTTTAGCTTAGCGGTGGTGACGTGAAGTCATGTGACCGTGCTGTACTTCCTTTATAGCCAAACATTAGCCACCCTTAGCTTAGAAATACCACTTCGCTGCTCCACTCTACAGTTTCCTATGCTCTGTGTGTGTGAAGCTGTAACTCTCCCTCTTCTCTGCAGGTGCGTACAGTCTCCGCTAAAGCTCTGGGAGCGATGGTGAAGGGAATGGGCGAGTCGTGCTTCGACGACCTGCTGCCGTGGCTCATGGAGACCCTCGCCTCGGAGCAGAGCTCTGTGGATCGATCCGGAGCCGCACAAGGTCGGTGCTTCCTCCCTGTGTTGTCTCTGATTTGCTCTTATAATCAAACGTTAGGATGTTTTAAGGTGTGGTTGTATGAGTTACTTACCCATAGTAAGGGTTTTTCTCGGTGGTTTGTACTCTGAAGAAGGTAAGCCGTGTGCTGATGTCGACGGTGGCTACAAACATTTATATTAGCCTACTTGCAAGTCATTCTGCGTATATAGGTGTACTCTTTATTTAAAATCAGTTTCCTGCTTTACCTCGAGCTGAAGCGTGTAAATATGCTCTCACCAAAGAGTCCCTTTTTCTTATTCCCTAAACACAGGAGAGTTGCTGCCTCCATCAGTTAGTTTATTTACGTAATTTTATAATTTGGGGGTTTTAGATGGTTTCTTTGGAGTCACTAAGACACACAATATCCCCCAAAAAACATCGGTAGCTGCCTTAATATGTTCTGCAAGGTTAAATTACAGATGTTGTAGTCTGGTGGCTTTAAACAGAGCCTTAAATCCCCCTTGTAAATACGGACTGTAATGTTTGTATTACACAAAGATAAATACTTTAAATATAGCAGACACACAGGTGGCTAAAATACATGATGCTACATTGCTTAGCTTTTGTGCTGCACTCTTGTATGTTTGATTAAGGAGAAGCACCTCATACAACTCTTGTTTCAAACATCCAAACCCTCCATTTTAATATCGTACGTAACATGATTGTTTTCTTCGTGTGTTCAGGTCTGGCGGAGGTGATGGCCGGCCTCGGCGTGGAGAAGTTGGACAAGCTGATGCCGGATGTTGTGGCCACAGCCAGTAAAGAGGACATCGCCTCCCACGTGAGAGACGGATACATCATGATGTTCATCTACCTGCCGCTGACCTTCGGAGAAAGATTCACTCCCTACGTCGGGCCCATCATCCCCTGCATCCTCAAAGTACGGGACTTCTTCTTTGCTTAGTTTGATAGTACATTTATATTTACTCAAATCAAAAGCTTTTATTGTTATTGTACAGATCACAACAAGACATGTGTCCCCTCTTCTTCATGTCTTTCTACATCAACATGTGTCCCCTCTTCTTCATGTCTCTTCTACATCAACATGTGTCCCCTCTTCTCCATGTCTCTTCTACATCAACATGTGTCCCCTCTTGTTCATGTCTCTTCCACATCAACATGTGTCCCCTCTTCTTCATGTCTCTTCTACATCAACATGTGTCCCCTCTTCTCCATGTCTCTTCTACATCAACATGTGTCCCCTCTTCTTCATGTCTCTCCTACATCAACATGTGTCCCCTCTTCTCCATGTCTCTTCTACATCAACATGTGTCCCCTCTTCTTCATGTCTCTTCTACATCAACATGTGTCCCCTCTTCTTCATGTCTCTTCTACATCAACATGTGTCCCCTCTTCTTCATGTCTCTTCTACATCAACATGTGTCCCCTCTTCTTCATGTCTCTTCTACATCAACATGTGTCCCCTCTTCTTCATGTCTCTTCTACATCAACATGTGTCCCCTCTTCTTCATGTCTCTTCTACATCAACATGTGTCTCCTCTTCTTCATGTCTCTTCTACATCAACACGTGTCCCCTCTTCTTCATGTCTCTTCTACANAGAAGAGGGAGACATGAAGAAGAGGGGACACATGTTGATGTAGAAGAGACATGAAGAAGAGGGGACACATGTTGATGTAGAAGAGACA